CTCGATAGGAATCCAGTGGTATTGGGCTTCAATCGGAATCCTTTTGTATTGGCTTTCAATAAGAATCTTTTTTGTCAAGGCTCTCAACCGGAATCCTTTTGCAGCGGCTTTCAATAGGAATACTTTTGTAGAGGCTCTCAATAGGAATCATTTTGCACAGGCTCTCAATAGGAATCCTTTTTGTATTGGCTTCCAACGGAATCCTTTTGCAGAAGCTCTCGATAGGAATCCTTTTTTGTGGAGGCTCTCGATCGATAGGGCTCCTTTTGTAGAGGCTCTCACTAGGAATCCTATTGTCGACGCTCTCAGTTGGAAGGTTCCAGGGATCCTGGATTCTTCCGGAGGATGGTTTTAGGAAGGTTTTGTTGGAAGGTTCCAGGAATCCTGGAAGGTTTTAGGAAGGTATTTTTCCTGGAAGGTTCCAGGAATCCTGGATTCTTCGTGGGGGGGGGAGGTTAGGAAGGTTTTTCTTGAAGGTTCCACGAATCCTGGATTCTCCCTGAGGAAAGTTATAGGAAGGTTTTGTTGGAAGATTCCAGGAATCCTGGATTTTTCCTGGTTCTAGGAAGGTTTTTTGGAAGGTTCCAGGAATCCTGGATTCTTCCTGGGGACGGTGTTAAGACGGTTTTTTGGGAAGGTTCCAGGAATCTTGGATGCTTCGTGAGGAGGGTTTTAGGAAGGTGTTTCGGAAGGTTCCAGGAATCTTGGACTCTTGGTGAGGAGGGTTTGGGGAAGGTTTTCTTTCTTTTGAAAGGTTACAGGGATCCTAGATTGTTCGTGAGAAGGGTTTTAGGAAGGTTGCTTGAAAGGTTCCAGAAATCACGGATTCTTCCTGAGGAAGGTTTCAAAGTTTGTTTGGCTCGAGGAATCCTGGATTCTTCCGGAGGAAGGTTTCAGGAAGTCGTTTTTGAAGTTTCCTCGCATCCTGGACTCTTCCAGATGAAGGCTTTAAGAAGATTTTCGGCGGGCGGGCGGGCGGCGGCCGGGCGGGCGACGGGCGCCAGGCGCGTGCGATTCCCCCCCCCCCCATGATCCACCTCAGGGACCCTCGCCAGGATTTTGACACCCCCTCCGGCCCGAGACCACCCCCGGACAAACATACCATTGGGGCACAACGTGCTCCAAAACGGGCCAAGTGGACCCCAAGAAGCCGGAGAGACGGTTCCAGAAGACCCCGAAGCGCCGAATGATCCTTCCAAGCCTGCCGCGCCGTGGCCTGACGCCATCTTCGCCTTCGCCCTCCGCCTCCGCATCCCCCTCCCCGTTTTCACCCTCTTCCTCCTTGTCGTCGCCCTCATCGCCATGCGCCCCCCCCCCCTCCCCCCCCTTCCATCAACCCCAATGACGAAGATCGCGCCAGGGCTCACTTGGGCAATCTATGACTTCCCCGGAAGTCCAAAGGCCCCTGGGCCCCCAACAAGACAAACTTCTTTGGGGTCGGCGGCAGAGGCGGCAGCCTTTAAATAATTTTGGCTTCCCAGCAGGCTCAGAGTCGTGTCCGACACCGCAGCGTGGCGCTTGGGTGGCGCCCCGATTTCACATGTTTTATTGGGTTGCCGATCGCGGTGGCGAAATCGAAGAAAGAGTTGAGCAGGGGCTCGGCATCATTCTTGTGATCCACGTGCGGGAGATTGGTCGGGTTATGCCCATCTTGGCCTAGGTCTTCCCCGTCTTCGGTCGGTTCCCGAACCTGTGACCCCTTTTTGTTCCTGAACCTGTGAACGAAAGCGTCTGAATCAGGGTTTCTTTTGGGGGGCACGCCGGGGGCGGCGCCGCGCCCGTCTCCACGCTCTCTCCCTCGGCTTCAGCTGCGTTCGGTCCGGAGGAAGCTCCGCAGCGTCCCGCTCTCGCTTGCTGGCGCCCCGCCGCGTGGGGGCGTCGAGGAGCAGGCATTCGCCCGCCCTTCGGGCGGCAGTCAGCGCGTTTCCGGTGGATTGGTCTCGGCAGTTTCGTTTCCAGTCGGCGGCGCCGACGTGCTCACCAAGTTTTCTGTGGGCTTCAGCAACAGGTACCTGGTCGTTGGCTGAGCCTGGCCAGCGCAAGGCGCACGCTTTTTGGTGTCGGCTGAGCCTGGCCAGAGCAAGGCATAGTTTCTGGGCCATTTGTGGTTGAAGCTTCCTTTTACAGTTATTACTGTTCAATTTTGGGCTGTGGGCAGGTTGGGAGGAATGACATTGCGCATTTGGTTTTGGGTATTTCTTGTTCCTCAGTTTGGTTGTTGGTGAGGCACTTCGTGGAGGAAGCGAGCTCAGTACCCGTGCAGCTTACGAGTTTGTTCGGTTACAGGTCTGCCCAGTGACCTGTGGTGGGCTTCATCATGGACAGGGCCGTATCGAGTTGGATTCACCTCTCCTTATCTGGCTGTAACTTGTGTGTGCAATGTGGTATTCGTTCTCTGTGTGCGACGAGGGATTCATCAGAGGTATGTGCGGCTGTGGGCGGCCTCCTCTGGCTCATGTTTCTCCTGTCCTTTGTCTTCCGGTTCGGCTACTTCTTGTTCGAGTTCAGAGGGCGGCCCGAGGAAATCGAGTCGAGCTAAGCGCTCGTAGCTCGAGTTGATGTTGGTGGTCGTATCGCACCGCGATGGGGCCGACTACGATTCCGATTCCCATCCCTGCCATCCCTGCCTCTGCCCTCCGCATGTCTCTGCTTCGGCACACCCCTCAATCAATTCGTGGTCCCATAGGGAACTCCACCGAAAGCATGGAGGAGGAGGATGAGGAGGAGGAGGAGGAGTAGGACAGAAGCATTTAGGAATCATATTGGCGCCTCATGATAATGAGACGTGCCTGAGCCTGCGTGCCCACTGTAATCGCAGTACATAAACATGTAATATAATTCAGGCGGCTGCCAGGACAAGGGAGGAGGAGGAGGAGGAGGAGGAGGAGGAGGAGGAGGAGGAGGAGAAGGAGGAGGAGAAGGAGGACAGAAGCAGTTAGGAATAACATTGGCGCCTCATGATAATGAGACGAGCCTGGGCCTGCGTGCCCACTGTAATCGCAGTATATAAACCTGTATTGTGGATCAGGCGGCTGCCAGGACAAGGGAGGTGAAACTTGAGAAGGAGAAGGGCAGGATGAAGCAGGTGGCCCAGATGCAAGACGAGGACAAACAGATGGGGCCCCTGGAACAAGAAAAGGCGGTATACTGTGGCATGATTCTGATGGTGGGGGGCTAAAGGTGCGAAGAAATCTATGTGGGACAGCTTGGCGATACTTCTGGCCTGGCCTGCATGAGCACGACCCGTCAGCGAAGGAACTTCCATGACATACTAGTCAAATCGCTCCCGGAACACATCTGCAGCATGCGCTGCCAAAGCCTCTTGCCTGCTGGCGCATGGCGGGCAAGCGTTACATCAGGAGCAGTCCTTCGTCGCGGCGCCTACCTGGCCAGAAAGCCATAACATGGGCAATCAACTGCAGAAGATTCACCACTGGGCTTGATAGCTGGGCTCTTTGGGGATCGGTTGAAGCTGTCGGGGGGGGCGGAGCCTCGTGAGGAAGCCAGGGGCGCTCTGGGACCTTCTGAGGCAAGCTGTCGGCCCCGCCATGGCTCCGCGGACTCCCCCCAGAGGCTCCCGCTCCATCGCACGCTCCGCCTCGCCATCTGCACTCCTCCCCGTCCACCTCAGCCCACTCACCATCGCCTCTCCTTCCCCTCCTCCCCCTCCTCCATCCTTCTCCCCGCCGCGGGCAGCGGCACATTCTGGCGGGCGCGTTCTGGAACGCGCTGGATTTCATCTGCACGCAGCGCCACGAAACATCGCGCGCTCCGCGCGCGCTCAAGTTCGACCTGTATTGGAGCCTGGAGCCCGGCGTAGAGCGCGGGAAGAGGGACCGTGCTCGAGACATTCGGCCAGCTTGGGGCTCTCCTTCAGATCCTTTGGGGCTCTCTCTCACTTCTCCGAGGCCCGTCGGAACACTTATGAGACGACCATTGGGGAACGCGAAACACAAGGAAAAGCACTCAGAACTTTGGTGTCCGTTCCCCTGGAGCCTGCGTGGCCCCTGGCACTGTCCAATTGGGCCTGATTTGGACCGGATTTGGGCCAGACTTGGACCTGGATTCGTGGGGGCTAGGAGAACGAGGAGGGGGAGGGGGAACAGGAGGGAGAGGAGGAGCAGGAGGATGGGCCAAATGCAGTCCCCACGCTGTCCACATGCAGGAAAAGCTGATCTCAATGTCGCCGCCCAAGGCTCCCATGAACAGACATCGAAAAGAACTCTAATACTGCAGATCTGGGCCGTCGGAGGGTACTTTTGGGGGAGTCTCTCGCAGCCTCGTGGCCTCTCCCGTGCTCTCCCTTCGAGCCCTCTCTGGGCCTTCTTGGGGCCCTCCCGTGGCTCACGCGCGCCTTCTTCGGGCGCGTGACTGGCGCCTTCCTGGAGCTTCTGGTGGCTGCCTTCGGAGGCTGGGGAGGGGCCAGGGATCGGAGGCCTGGAAATTGGCACCAACACCAAGACAGAGGGTTGCCTCCACAGGGGGAAGATGATCCTAGATTTTCGGTGTTGGTGGTAATAGTTCGGCCACCTTGGAAGCCAGAATATTACCACCATCACCGAGATCGGGATCTTCTTCCCTCGGTGGAGGCACACCGCCGAAATTGGTGTTGGTGTCAATCCCTAGGCCTGCGAATGGAGGCCCCAGAAAGGGTCGTGCCCATTGGGGCTCAACCCCCGACGAGCCCATCCACCAGCAGCGGCTCAGAATCTTCTGCGAGACTCGCTGAGCGGGACAGAGCCTCGCAAGCGGGCGCGGGGAGACGGAACCGTGCACCGGCAGGGCGCCCTGTGTCAGTGATTATCCAGTCGTTGTCGACTGCGCGACTGGCGCCCACGGCAACAGGGCAGCCGTCAACATCCTCGCCTTCTTCGGCTTCAGAGTCCGCTCGAATAGCTGGAGGACCAAGGTCGCGTCTCCCTGGCATGTGAAATGTGTGCGCTTGAATGCCTCACGAAATCCTTCTACTGAGTCTGCGTTCAGCCTCTTGACCGCGTAAATTAGCTTACGCTGGCCCCTGAGCGGGGCATCCCGAAGCGCGGCCTCCCTTCTCCCTGAAAACTCCTTGCGAGGAACTCACACTCCAGATCTGCACAAAAGAGGACTTTATGTCGAATCCGCGTCGAATCCATGCCAAATCCGCGTCGAGTCCGCATCGAGCACGCGTCGGGCCCCCCCAAAGACACCAATTTTGGGGACAGGCGAGGTCCCCCGAAGATGCAACAGAAACACTGGCCCCTGAGCGGGGCATCCCGCAGCGCGATCTCCCTTCTCCTTGAAAACTCCTTCCGAGGAACTCACACTCCAGATCTGCACAAAAGAGGACTGTAGATTCCGAGGGGATCGGCTGCACGCAAGAGTGACCCTGGGTAAGAGTGACCTTTGGTGCGCGGCTTTGGGGGGGCCGCGTGGGGACCGAACCTGGGCGCGCAAGCCGTTGCTCCTGCTTCGTGTTCAGCCATCTGGGGACCCATCTGTGCCTGCACCAAAGGTCACCCCAGCGAAAGGTCACTCTTACGTCTAGTCGAGGGGAGGATCGAGCTCGTCGGGGCCGACCCGGGACCTCCGAAACGGGTCTGCACGGGCCGCCGGACAGCCCCGCCCCGCCGCAGACGGCCCCGAGGAAGAGCCCCGTGACCACACAAAGACGACTTCTTTGGGGGGCCCCACGAAGGGCCCAAAACGGCCCCAGAAGCACAACAGAGCTCCAGGACGACTCCACGAGACCTCCACGACGCACAGGAGCGGCCCCACATGGTTCAGTAAATCCAGAAAGACGCCCGAGAGATGCTCGAGGTGCTCCAAAAAGGCTCCCAATACGGCACCTCAGGAGCCCACAAGTCAACAGCCGCACAACGGCCCGACGAGAAGCCCCCCCCAATACTGGCCATCGCTCGGACGTCCTTTCCCCGAGTTTTTGTCGGTTTCGTGCGCGGTTTTTCGCCAAGTGATCACGGATGCTCCTCGATGGTCCTCGCCGAAGGAAAAATGAACACGTCCGAGCGATGCCAGGAATAAGGGCTGGAGGAGGAGGAGGATGCGAGCCGCAGAAGGAAGGTCCTCGCCGAAGGAAAAAGGCACACGTCCGAGCGATGCCAGGAATAAGGGCTCTGGGAGGAGGAGGAGGAGGAGGAGGAGGAGGAGGAGGAGGTGGAGAAGGAGGGAGAAAAGGGAGGAGGAGGAGAGGAGGAGGAGAGGAGAGGAGGAGGAGGAGGAGAGGAGGAGGAGGGGAGGAGGAGGAGGAGGAGGAGGGAGGAGGAGGGGAGGAGGAGGAGGAGGAGGAGGAGGAGGAGGAGGAGGAGGAGGAGGAGGAGGAGGAGGAGGAGGCGAGCCGCAGAAGGAAGGCCCCCGGCCCTGTTTTAGGGCTCCTCGAGCCTTGGCTCCCTGCACCGGCGGCGGCCGGCCTCGGCCGAGCTCCCTGGGCTCGGAGCCCTGGGCTGACGGCGCCGGGGCGATGCCCAGTCCTCCCTCCTCCTCCTCCTCCTCCTCCTCCTCCTCCTCCTCCTCCTACCTCCTCCTCCTCCTCCTCCTCCTCCTCATCCTCCTCCTCCTCCCTCTCCTCCTCCTCCTCCTCCTCCCCTCCTCCTCCTCCTCCTCCTCCTCCTCCTCCTCCTCCCATTTCTCCTCCTCCTCTCCTCCTCCTCCTCCTCCTCCTCCTCCTCCTCCTCCTCTCTCCTCCTCCTCCTCCTCCTGCTCCTCCTCCTCCTCCTCCTCCTCCTCCTCCCTCCTCCTCCTCCTCCTCCTTCCTCTAGTTATGTGGCCTAACGCCAAGCAGTGCCAATCAGTGCCAGGCGATGCCAGGCAATGCCAAGCAGGCCCAGGTACGGCAGGTTCGTGTCGTGCCGACTTCGGCGCTGCTTTCTGACACCGCGGGGGTCTTCAACCTTGAACGATCGGCCGTTTCCGAGACGTCCAAATCGTTCCAATCAAACGATTCTGGGTCGCCCGCGGCGTTCAACGTTGAACGTCGCTGGCGGGGTCGCCGCCAGTCGACACGAAACGAACCTACCGTACAGTGGCGTATCGAAGAACGACGCCAGAGGTCGCAACCGCAGTCCATGCCAATCAATGCCATACATTGCGCCGAGCAGAACACGCCAACGCCAAGCAACGCCAAGCAACACCAAGAAATGCGCCGACGCGGTGGGCAAGGCAGCCTCCTGAGAACTCCTTCCTTGCCGAATTGCTTAGTTACTCACTTAGGAAGCTGCCTGTGATTGGGGTCGAGCCCAGTTAATATTTTGCTGACTTTTCGACCCAGGATTGCCTCAGGAATGCCCCAGAAGGATCCACGAGGGCTAAAACGATATCAAAAAGGAATTCTGGATGGATCTTACAGGTTCTCACATAGCCGAAATTCGAGAAGAGCTGGCTTTGTCGGACGCCGACACTCTCAAGATGTCCAAGCGTGCGCGCGAGGCCTTCCTGGCGAGGCACCAGACCTTCGAACGCTAGCAGAGAAGAGAAGAGGCAGCAGTGGCGACAAACTGTTTTAAGGAGGAGGAGGAGGAGGAGGAGGAGGAGGAGGAGGAGGAGGAGGAGGAGGGGGAGGAGGGAGAACGGGAGGAGGGAGGGAGGAGGGGAGGAGGGGAGGAGGAGAGAGGAGGAGGAGGAGGAGGAGGAGGAGGAGGAGGGAGGAGGAGGAGGAGGAGGAGAGGAGGAGGGAGGAGGAGGAGAGGAGGGAGGAGGGAGGAGGAGGAGGAGGAGGAGGAGGAGGAGGAGGAGGAGGGGAGGAGGAGGAGGAGGAGGAGGAGGAGGAGGAGGACGACGAGGAGTGCCAGACGCCAGAGGTTGCACGCGCGGAGCAGCGCGGAAGCGGGACCGAGACGTCATCGGCGACAGGCTCGGACTGGTGTGCGCGCGAAGGGGGCGAAGCCAAGCCGGGCCCACCTAGAGTTGGGGCGTTGACCCAAGGAACCTTAAATAAGGAACGAGGCCCCCTTTTCCCAGAAGTGAAGCTTCGATTCCCCTATGGAAAAAACCTAAGGAAAACCCAGAAAGCAAACTGTAAAGCAACTGAGGAGCACGGAGCCCCTCCCAAACGAAAAGGGCTCCTCCTTCAGCGCCCCGACTGTATAGACCCCCGCTGCCAAGCGGGGACCAGGGTGGAGGAGGGAGAAGCAGAGCCAAGCCTGCCCCGCGACCCCTCTAGCATCAGGTCGGGAATGTCCTCCCACAGGCGGATTCTGAAGGAAAATGGAGAAAGTCGAAAGATGTGCAATCACAGTCAAAAGAGCACGAAAAATCGTCCCCAGCCTATCTTGCATCTGTTCTTGAATATTCCTCCTGTAGAAGGACAAGGGTGGAAGCTGGGGCGCTGTCCAGGCAGTGGCCGCCCTCGGGCAGTGGCGGCAGGAGCTTGGCGCAAGACATCATCAGCTACTTACGTGGACGAGCGTTTGCGAGAACAGCAGGACCAAGACGGAGATCCTGACGGAAAGGGTGGCGACGAGGGCAAGGAGGACGAGGTGGAGGAGGAGCTGAACGAAAGCGATGAAGTGGATGGGAAGAGTGGCACGAGACCCCACCGTGGAAGTCTGCAGAAAGCACACCGAGGACGGCCCCGACCACGGCAGGTCGCGGGGGTATGGGTGCGTGCGTTTCTCCCCAGGAACGGAGGCCTGGATGGCCATTGTCACCCTAGCCGAAACAGAGCTCATGGGCCGGAAGGTCCTTGTCAAAGTGTGTTCCGGCGCCAACGCATGACACCTAGGCCCATCAACTAATGAGAAGGCCCAGCGCGTGCGAGAAAAGCCGGCAGTGGATCGGCAAGGTCGACTTCGCGGGCGGGGCGCGGCCTTGGGCTGCGCTCTCAGGTCGTGGAGCCAAGGGATGGCTGTCGCAGCCGTGCGTTCAGCAAGGAAGCGGACAAGGAGGACTGGATAGAGAGATCGGAGGAGGAAGGGAACGAAGAACAGGAGGACCGGGGGAGGGGGGAGAGGCGGGAGAAAGCGAAGGGGAGGTGGAAGAGAAGCACCAGATCGCTGGCCTCGACGTGCAATCCGCGAAGCGAAAGGAATCCTGACAGCTGGATCGGTCCCCGCGTTGGCGATGTTACCGTACGCGAAGGCCAGGCAGAGCTCCAAAAAACACCAGCCCCGTGACAGATACTCGTTGCTCATAAGATGTTTGGACAACGATGTTGAGGAATCCGTTGACAAGGACTGCTTCGCGGAGGAATCACGTGAAACCCTTCGGGCGTAGAGCACGGGGAGCACTATGACAGGAATGGCTCCGACGCTGTAGAGCGTTTCCATGGACTCCAGCGCCTGTCGTCTGCACGCAGGAATGACCCAAGGCAAGAGTGACCTTTGGTGCGCGGCTTTCGAGGGGGCGCGGGGGGGCCACACCCAAACGCGCAAGATGCTGCTATCACTGCATCCAGCGATCGGCGAACCTAAGGTCACTCCAGCAAAGAGTCACTCGTACGTGCAGTCGGGCCTTGTTGAAGAGCACCTCTTCGGCCGCGCTGCGGACAGACAGGTGCTCGCCGGGCTCAGGCCAAGCCCCCTCGAGCTCCAAGCGCTGCAGGTCCTCGTTTTGAAGATCGTGCTGCGGCAGCCCCATATAAGCCGCCGACCCTTTTGGGTCACTGGGTGTGCGAGATTCCTCCCCCGCCCCACTCCCTCGGATTTCTACTGACCCCCGTCAACGCAACAACGGGTCAATCAAGCTTTACAAGATCCTGCAAAATCCTCCATGCCCTGCAGGATCCTGCGCGCTAGCCCGGGCCAGTGCAATCTAGGCTTTACAGGATCCTGCAAGATGTGGTGCTCTGGCTGACCTCCGTTTGCATTGACCCCCGTCTAAAGGCTCCCGATTTCCGAGAGTTCACTCTCCCACCACGCTCACACATTGCACGTTTCAGGGGCGTGGCCGAGTTCCTGTCTCCGTGCCCACCCCAAGCTAAGAGTCCGCCCCAAACCTCGACGATCGCCCCCAGAGCATGCCAAGGAGGCCCAAGTCAGCTTCCACGACAACCAGGACGGCCTGATATGGCCACCCTCACTGAACATTGTGGCAATTTGCGGCGCAACAAGCCCATATAGGCCCATAGGCGACCCCCAGACGGCACAAGAGGCTCCGAATATGTATCCAAAGAGCCTTCGGAGGACCTCCGAAATGCCACCCAAAAACAAAAGCATCAGAAAACCGTGATCTCTGATGTATTTCTCATACTCGCCGCGTTGGGCTTCAGGCTGCCACCTCCAGCCCGAGAGACCATGTCGCCCCAAGAGGAGCACCAGGGAGTTCTAAGATATCTTCAAGAAAGCGCCAAGGGGGCCCAACACGGGCCCAGCACGGCCCTGCGGTATCCCAAGTGACCGCCAAGAAAAGCTCCAAACGACCCACGAAAATCCCACGACGGCTAAGAAAAAGGTGCGGCAAACACTGCAAACGCGGCCTGGAGAGGGGCCCCAGGCGGCCTAAAAGCGCCCCAAAACAATCCAAATATAACCTCAAGGTGACTCCCAAGAACGGCGATAAGGGCGCCAAACTTGATGATCATGATTTTTTTCCCCGCCCACGACCCCCGTGGGTCGGCCTCTGAACCCCTTAAGGAGTGCTCCGCGGCGGCCCCGACAAGGCGGCAAGACCGCGGGAGCTGCTCTGCCCGTCGCCGCCGCCCTCTCCCGGCTTTCGGCCAGCATCGGGAGAAAATCGACGTGGCTTCTAGCCGCCGCCGCCGCGGCCGCGCAGTTCCAGCGGGGAGGCAGGGGGAGCAGAGATGGTGGTAAGGACAAATTAAAACGGAGTGGAGGGAGGAGAGGGGAGGACACAAGATCAGCAACTAAGCCAGTGGCCGTCATCCTGGGTCGCACAAGGCCCCTCGGCCAAGGGACGCAACTGGCGCCCGGCGAAAGAAAACGGGTGCCTTGCTGCACTTCATCGGAGACCTGAAGGACAGGAAAGGCCAGCGGAGAGCATGGCATTGCACACCCTGGTTTGCGCAGGATGCGCAGAGCCCCGTGCCGTCCGCAGAGGAATGACGGACTCGAACCCATTCCCAGTTCAAGCCCAGAGAGCAAGCGAAGCAAAGAGAAGCTTTCGGGTAACCTCGGGTCGAGAGCAGCCGCCCCGCTCTCGAGGCCAGCCGCGCGTGACAACAATCAGCGCAGAGAGAAGCAGAGAGGCAGGCGCACAAAGAGAAGGAGCGGACTCGCTCTCGCCCCCAACGGAACGAAGCTTATCCACGCGACCAGGCTTCCTGAACCTTAGGGCGCCTCCGACACTGAAGACGATTTCGGGCTTTAAAAAAGTCTTTCGCAGGGAGACGGGAGCCCTCGCGAACGCTGGCTTGAACAGACAAGAAACCGTGAGGGAGTGAGACGCACAGCAGTTTCAGACTCGGGAACGGAGGGGGGCAATACGGGTTAAGCAACGGAACCAGGACTCTTCGCTAAAAAAAAGGAAAGCGACATGGGGCGAGGTCTAAACTCAGTCGACGAAATTCAAGACAGACTGCATAATGCTCCATAAGAGTCGGAAGCACCAGGGCTCCCACAGTTCCAACAGCATCGTCCAGGACCACGGTGGAATCGGGCACTAGTGCATGCACCTCGAGATAGTACTCGTAAGACAGCAAGACCCAGATACAGAGAACTATCCTCGGCAACCTTGCGGATAGCCTGAATGACACCGAAGTCTGAGAAACTGAAACCCCTAGGAGCCACCGAAACACCCTCATCTGCAGGCAACGGTTGGGGGAGATAGGGGGCGGGGCGAGCACGCAGACGTTTGCGCAGATTTCTCTGGAACCCCTCGGCCTGCAAAAGTGCCGAACAGAGAGAGATGTTACCATGCCGGGTCGAGACCAGTGTGCGAGCGAACGAGCGTTGCCACCGCGGCCATCTGATGCGACCTGGATGGTAGTCACCTTGCGATACTAGGTCCCCAAGCAATAGCCGCATTCTGGAGAACGCAGAGGAGTGGTGTGCCAGTCGGACCTCTGTCGCAATACTCACTGATTCCAGATCAGGGAATTCAAGACTGAGCCCCAAGTCCCGAAGGCGCGAACACATCGCACGGTTGAACGAGAAGCGCGGACCAGCAATGAGTTTTTGGCACATATTCAGCTCGCATTTCCGAACAGCACGAGAGAGCGGGTAGAACTGCATCACGTAACGAAGCAGCGAGACAGCGAATATCACATGCGTGCGAATTGTCATTGCAAGCCCGAGCCGAAGACGACGATTCTCAACGCAGCGCTGGCGGTGCTTCTGAAATGCAGCATGCCACGCGCGCGCATCCTTCAGGCCCAATTTGGACCCAAATAACGCGCGCGCCGCACAAGCTGAATCCACGAAGCGCCGGGCCCCAGAGACTCCAAGAGACGCCGAGCGCGTCGAATCATGCGCGGTGTAAGTTGCAGTCCACAATGCACAAGCACAGATTTCTTGAGGTTCAGAGAGAGAGACCAATCGCGCCATGTAGCCTGTAACAGTGGAAGCAGAAGGGGAAGCTCGAGGAGAGCATCACGCAGGGCAAACCACATATCACCAGCGTAAGCGAGGACCATTTTTGGAAGACGTGAGCTAACCCAGCGAATGCAAGGATCAAGAGCCAATGCGAAGAGCAGCGTGCTGGATGGGCCCCCTTGGCGAACCCCACGAGCGAGCCGAATGCTTCTGCGCCGCTTCCCACCGCAGCAGATATGCCCCATATTCTCGGGGTAAAGTGCATCAAAAAACCAGCGACCCCAGGGTGGACTTGAATCAGAACCAATGCCCGAGGTGGCCAGGAAATAGCGACGCTCGGAAAAGCCGCAGCAAAGTCCGCGAGGAACACACAGGCAAGATCCCTTCCCAGCATAAACTGCTGCAGCCCCCAGACTTCCGCGCCCAGAATTTGATCGGTCATCGAGCGCCCCTTGAGGCGCGCCTGAACTTTCGACGCGGTCTCACGGGCCGCGCGCCCCAATCTCCAGGAGCAAACCAGGGACATAATCTCACAGCCGGCGTCTGCCATCGCAAGCGGTCGGCATGCCCCAGGAGAACGAGAGGTCGACGAGGAGAGGTCAGATGGATGGCCCCCTTTCGCGAGAAACACCAATTGCATTTCACGCATGCTCACCGGCAGATCCGCACCGCGATGTTCCATCGTACGACAATAGAGATCATGCAAGACTGCAATGGGAATGGGAGACTTCCAACACGAATACACAATGCCGTCTGGCCCAGGCATAAAGTCTTCACGCCCTCGAGCGAGTTCAAAATCCAGATGCCACTGATCCTCAGACAGATCAGGAACAGGAGCTATATGTATATGATCTTCCAGATCGGCCCACAAATCCACACCACGCACATGCTCTCCAAAAACCGCCCCACAGTGAACAGACAGAGCCTCGCCGGCCTCCTCGGTGGAGGCACATGGGCCCCCATCTGGACCAAAGATGTTCCCCGGAGACCCTCTTCTGAAGTGGCCTCCATAGCTCCTTGCGACTTTGCAACCTCGATCGCATGCGAGCCTTCAAGTCAGGCCCAGCCCCCTGGCCCGCTGCCCTCTCAAGCACCAAAATGGACAAGTTCTGCAGCGTCTGAATGCGATCAGAGAGCGAAGGCAAAGAAGTAGCAGATGCCAGACGAGAGGTCAAAGAAGCGAGCGAGAGCGGGGTAGCACTGCACAGCGTCACCGACTTGCTGCAGGCTCCGTGCACGAACCCGTCGCAATGCTGCAAGTGCGAAGTGGATTTTTTCCATCGGCATTATCTGCCAACGCTCGTTTCATGTGTCGACGTGTTTGGGTGGCAGCCTCCCACATGCACTGCTCCACAAGACTGACTCGATCCCCAATCGGCGCCGATCGATCCATGTCTCTCAAGAGAAAATCGAGTTCAGCATGGAAAACGGGGCGGGGCCCCACCCGCGAGGGGATCTTCAGAAAATCAGAGGGGGCAAACATCCGAAACGTTGCAATCACAGGGGTATGATCTGATACGTTGCCAGTGAATGGCGAGATAGAGACGAGAGGGCAGCAAGAGATCGAGAGGGCAGCAATCACAGCAGAGGGATTGGCGAGATAGAGACGGCCAAGCCGGCTCGCATGGGCCAGCGCATAATTGAGAATTCCCTTCGTGCGGGGTCAGGCTGGCGAATTCCAATCCAACGCGGAATGCGCCGAGAGAGCGAATCATGTCGACGCCGATCCCCGGGGCGCCACCCCGAGCCGTCACCGCTCTGCCCCCCGTCCCCCCCCAAAGCAAAGTAGAAGTCCCCCCCCCGATCAAAATCACGGCAGTCCCAGCATCTCGGAGACATTCCTGGACCCGCCAAAGTGCGCGATTGAAGGCCCCGGTGGGCTCCCCAGAGGTAGGGGGATGAACATTAAGAACCCAAAGAGAACCATGGGGGCCAGTACATTTGGTAAGAAAGATGCGTCCATCTTCAACCTTGCAGCGCCTAATCTCCGTGAAGAGAGAGAGAGAGAGAGAGAGAGAGGAGAGAGAGGAGAGAGAGAGAGAGGAGAGAGAGAGAGAGAGAGAGATGAGAAGAGAGGAGAAGAGAGAAAAAAAAAAGAGAGAGAGAAGAGAGAGAGAGAGATGAAGAGAGAGAGAGAGAGAAGAGAGA